ATATCTGGCTTTAATTGGTACCTGCTCCCACTTCCAGCTCAGTTTGTTGTGGCGAAGTAAGACGGAGGTTCGGCCCCCCTCTTTCCTCCCGCAGTCTCCTGGGAACCTTCACAGGTCCCAGAGGACTGCCAGATCAATCAGAATGCATAGCACATCTGGCTGTGAAGCCGCAAGCTGGCATGGCCTGGTGCCCATAGTTGAAATGCCGTCACCAGGTAGAGAAGAGGGAGAAAAAAGACGGCGCGGGTGAGCACGTCGTTGGACCCCGGGACAGGTGAGTGTGTGTTTAATAAAAGTCAGTAGTTACAGTTTTTGTAGCTGCTGACTTTTAATAAACACAAAAATGGCTGGAATTCCACTTTAATTTCTATCTGTGACCCTGTAGTTTTATTCTCACCTGTTGATGTTCTTCAGCTTGAGAGGAAGTGAAGGCAAATCTCTGGAACACGAACAAAGGCAGCAATGCACCCTGTTCCAAATTATTATGCAAATTCTATTTAAGTGTCACAAAGATGAAATATTTTGTTTTTCAGTTTAACTCATGGATGGCATTGTGTGTCAGGGCTCTTTTGATCACTGAAAACAATCTCAGACACCTGTGATAATTAGATTGGCAGGTGAGCCCAATTTAAGGAAAAACTACTAAAGGAGGGTGTTCCACATTATTAAGCAGAGCTCCATTTTCAAGCAATATGGGGAAGAAAAAGGATCTCTCTGCTGCCGAAAAGAGTGAAATAGTTCAATGCCTTGGACGAGGTATGAAAACATTAGATATTTCACGAAAACTTAAGCGTGATCATCGCACTATTAAGAGATTTGTAGCTGATTCAGAGCACAGACGGGTTTGTGCAGATAATGGCACATTGAGGAAGATTTCTGCCAGATCCATGCATCAGATCAAGAGAGCAGCTGCTAAAATACCATTACAAAGCAGCAAACAGATATTTGAAGCTGCTGGCGCCTCTTGAGTCCCACGGACATCAAGGTGTAGAGTCCTCCAGAGTCTTGCAACTATGCATAAACCTTCTATTCGGCCACCACTAACCAATGCTCACAAGCAGAAATGGCTGCATTGGGCAGAAAAATACATGAAGACTAATTTTCAAACAGTCCTGTTCACTGATGAGTGCCGTGCAACCCTGGATGGTCCAGATGGATGGAGTAGTGGATGGCTGGTGGATGGCCACCCTGTTCCAACAAGGCTGCTACGTCAGCAAGGCAGTGGTGAAGTCATGTTTTGGGCCGGAATCATGGGAACAGAGCTGGTCGGCCCCTTTAGGGTCCCTGAAGGTGTAAAGATGACCTCTGCAAAGTATGTGGAGTTTATGACTGACCACTTTTTTCCCTGGTACAGAAGGAAGAACTATGCTTCAAGTTGCTAAGCTATGCTATGCTAAGTTCAATGGATGCAAGACTTGTGAAGCTGCTATCAAATAAGGGGTCCTATGTTAAAATGTAACGTGACCTGTTAAAATGTTTAAAAAGTTAAAATGTTGTTAAAAGTTTGATTGAAATAGCTTTTGATTTTAGTAAATATGCTGCAAACACAACAAATGACAATTTTCAGTTCTTTACAACCTATAAAGTGTTTTGAAACTTACTGTACGTAATAATTTAGAACAGTGCATTGTAAGTTTTTTATGTTTAAAAAAAAATACTGTTATCATTAAGAGGTTTGTTCAATAAAATTTGAATTGTACTCTTAATGGTTGATACCATGAGAATTATGCTGACTGTTATTTACATCAATTATTTAGGTAAATGAGAAAAATATCATTTGCATAATAATTTGGAACACGGTGTACAAACCACACAAAGGCTCCAACTCTTTTTCACTCTTCTTATCTTAAACATGTGTCTGAAGTTTGGCTTCAACTTTTGAAGGCTCACCCATGAAGGATACATAACGAATGAGTAGCAGGCATGTGTGGACTACAGCTTGGAGGGGGTTAGATGTAACTGGTATGTTGATTATATAATTGATCATACGATATATGTATGTTGTTTGTTTAATATGTACATGTTTATGGATTATTCAATTATGGAACTGCAACCGTTCTCTTGGACTGAACCTTTTGCTCTTTGAGTAATCCTCCAGGGAGACTAGTGACATCTTGGCTATTTACTTCCCTCAAAAGTTCATCTCATACAGAGAATGGGAAGCCAGCAACTTTCAGAAATGTAAACATTATGCATAGGTTGTATTTGCAGATTCTGTTATAAGGGAGCAGTATGTACATAATTTACCGCATTTTTATACAAACTGTATGTACATGCAAAATGACTTGCCAGGAAAAAGAAAAATGCCACTAATTACCTTCAATATTAAAATTGTTATGAGATGCATGTGTACCTTACTCACCACGACTGCAATTAAATTAAAAGATTAAATATGGGGGAGGGGTGTCAAGTATATAATTTTAGATCTGTATCTGGTTGCTATGGTAACAAAGCTGCAGTTCATTCAGCATCTCTCCTGCTTGCTGTTATTTCAGTGACTGAGAAGATAGGAGATGTGCAGTCACTCAGAGCATCTCCATGTGTTATAGATGGACATTGTATATGCTGTACAGCACGGCTTAATTTTCTGTAAAAATCTGACAGAAGTACACTCTCATTTTTCATCCTGGTTATTTATATACTATGAGAATAATTCAGCAAGTTAATAAAGCTATTATGGTAACCATAGGGAGTTATGAATCCAAATCTTGTAGTAATGCAAACATGTATCATGCTGTGACATGTAAGAAACTAGATGAAGCTGACAGCCACAATCCACCTTTTGTTTACTAGGAGTTTAGTGTTTCATACACAGGTGGCTAAATACGTGAAGAAAACTAATATATATTTATATAATGTGATCTGGGGATAGGCAGCCAGGATATATGCTTCCTGGGGTAAGCAGTCTTTCAGGAACAGATACGTAATCCAGTGAGATTAGTGGCAAACAGTGTTTATTAGTGCTATTTACCAAACTATATACAAAGTTCTGTACAGTGTTTAACCAAAATAAACAGTGCAAGAAAATATAAAACAAAAGCCTAGCTGTGTCCTGGCTCTAACTACACAGTAACACAGGTCCTATCAGACTGATCAAGCCTACCACTTGTCAGCCACAACATACAAGGCTTTCCAGTTTCCACTAACCTTTTCGGCTCTCCAGACAGGACTTGTCTGATCCCCAGGCCGAGAGCTACAGGTCCCAGGTGGATTTAATTTGCAAGGGTTCCTTTGGGATGCTCTGCCACAATAAATATATATATACAGTGGGGAACAGAAGTATTTGAACACCCTGCGATTTTGCAAGTTCTCCCACTTAGAAATCATGGAGGGGTCTGAAATTCACATTGTAGGTGCATTCCCACTCTGAGAGACAGAATTTAAAAAAAATTGAGGAAATCACATTGTATGATTTTTAAAAGAATTTATTTGTCTTGCACTGCTGAACATAAGTATTTGAACACCTAATATCAAGAATTCTGGCTCTCAAAGACCTGTTACTGTGCCTTTAAAAAGCCCACCTCTACTCCACTCATTAATCTAACTTAGTAGCACCTGTCTGAGCTCTTTAAAGACACCTGTCCACCCCACAGTCAGTCAGATGCCAAACTACTACCATGGGCAAGACCAAAGAGCTGTCAAAAGACACCAGAGACAAAATTGTGGACCTCCACAAGGCTGGAAAGGGCTATGGGGCAATTGCCAAGCAGCTTGGTGAAAATAGATCAACTGTTGGAGCAATTGTTAAAAAATGGAAGAGGCTAAAGACCACTGTCAGTCTCCCTCGGACTGGGGCTCCATGCAAGATCTCACCTCGTGGGGTATCACTGATGATAAAAAAAGTGAGGAATCAGTCCAGAACTACAAGGGAGGAGCTGGTCAATGACATGAAGAAAGCTGGGACCACAGTTTAAAAGGTCACTGTCGGTAGAACACTACGCCGTCATGGTTTCAAATCATGCATTGCACGGAAGGTTCCCCTGCTCAAGTCATCACATGTCCAGGCCCGTCTGAAGTTTGCCAATGACCATCTGGATGATCCAGAGGAGGCATAGGAGAAAGTCATGTGGTCAGATGAGACCAAAGTAGAACATTTTGGTCTAAACTTCACTCGTTGTGTTTGGAGGAAAAAGAAGGATGAGTTGCATCCCAAGAACACCATCCCTACTGTGAAGCATGGGGGTAGTAACATCATGCTTTGGGGGTGCTTTTCTGCGAAGGGGACAGGACAACTGCACTGTATTAAAGAGAGGATGAATGGGGCCATTTATTGTGAGATTTTGAGCAACAACCTCCTTCCCTCAGTCAGAGCATTGAAGATGGGTCGTGGCTGGGTCTTCCAACATGACAACGACCCGAAGCACACAGCCGGGATAACCAAGGAGTGGCTCCGTAAGAAGCATATCAAGGTTCTGGAGTGGCCTAGCCAGTCTCCAGACCTAAATCCAATAGAACATCTTTGGAGGGAGCTGAAACTCCGTGTTGCTCAGCATCAGCCCCAAAACCTGACAGATCTAGAGGAGACCTGTGTGGCGGAGTGGGCCAAAATCCCTGTTGCAGTGTGTGCAAACCTGGTCAAGAACTACAGGAAACGTTTGACCTCTGTAATTGCAAACAAAGGCTTCTGTACCAAATATTAACACTGATTTTCTCAGGTGTTCAAATACTTATGTTCAGCAGTGCAAGACAAATAAATTCTTTAAAAATCTCGCAATGTGATTTCCTGAATTTTCTATATTAAATTCTGTCTCTCAGAGTGGGAATGCACCTACAATGTGAATTTCAGACCCCTCCATGATTTCTAAGTGGGAGAACTTGCAAAATCGCAGGGTGTTCAAATTCTTCTGTTCCTCACTGTGTATATATATATATATATATATATATATATATATACATACACACTATATTGCCAAAAGTATTGAGACACCCCTCCAAATAATTGGATTCAGGTGTTCCAATCACCACCATGGCCACAGGTGCATACAATCAAGCAACTAGGCATGCAGACTGCATCCACAAACATTTGTGAAAGAATGAGTTGCTCTCAGAAGCTCAGGGAATTCAAGCGTGGTACTGTGATACGTTGCCACCTGTGCAATAAGTCCATCTGTGAAATTTCCTGGCTACTAAATATTCCACAGTCAACTGTTAATGATATTATAACAAAGTGGAAGCAACAGGGAAAAACAGCATCTCAGCCACGAAGTAGTAGGCCAAGTAAAATGACAGCGGAGTCAGCACATGCTGAAGTTCACAGTGCGCAGAAGTCGCCAGTTGTCTGCAGAGTCAATAGCTAAAGTCCTCCTAACTTTGTGTGGCATTCAGATTAACACAACAATGCGTAGAGAGCTTCATGGAATGGGTTTCCGTGGCCGAGCAGTTGCATCCAAGCTTTACATCACCAAGTGCAATGCAAACCATCAGATGCAGTGGTGTAAAGTATACCTCCACTGGAATCTAGAGCAGTGGAGACGTGTTCTCTGTTGTGACGAATCATGCTTCTCTGTCTGGCAATAAGATGAAAATGTCTGCGTTTGGCAGAGTCCAGGAGAACAGTACTTGCCTGACTGCATTGTGCCAAGTGTAAAATTTGGTGTAGGGGGGATTATGGTGTGGTGTTGTTTTTCAGGGGTTGGGCATGGCCTCTTAGTTCCAGTGAAGGGAACTCTTAAGGTGTCAGCATACCAAGATATTTTGGACAATTTCATGCTCCCAACTTTGTGGGAACAGTTTGGGGATGGCCCCTTCCTGGTCCAACATGACTGTGCACCAGTGCACAAAGCAAGGTCCATAAAGACATGGATGAGTGAGTTTGGGGTGGAGGAACTTGACTGGCCTGCACAGAGTCCTGACCTCAACCCAATAGAACACCTTTGGGATAAATTAGAGCGGAGATTGCGCACCAGGCATTCTCATCCAACATCAATGCCTGACTTCACAAATGCGCTTCTGGAAGAATAGTCAAACATTCCCATAGACACACTCATAAACCTTGTAGACAGCCTTCCCAGAAGAGTTGGAGAATCAAGGGAAAAAAAATAACCCTAAAGAAAATTTAACTAATTTCCTCATTGCTCTTTTCTACTTTGGCACAGCAAATCTGATGACAGCCATTTATTTATTTATATTGGCCTTTCTTGACAAGAAAGTAAACTGAAGGATGTTCTTGTCTGGGGGCAAAAATATTTTTTCCTGAGTATGATTACTGAAAATTAAAAGATTTTTTTTTTTTCATGTATTGACAGCCTAAGAGAAAGTTTACTAAAATTGAAAACCAGAGAGTATACTGGACAAAGTAACACGTTCATTTTAATCACCACAATACCTAGCAATATCCACATTGCTAGCAAATTACTTAGAACCCCCAGACATTATATATACTGGACAGATGCTCTCATCAAGCACACTTTGGTATAATATAGAAGTATAGCTTACATGATGACTGCAAAGTTCTCAAGTATTGAGGTAGCAGTGCAACCCCAAACCATAACAATTCCACACCATGCTTCACAGTTGTTATGAGGTTCTTCTCCTGCACTACTGTTGGTTTGCTACAGATATATCTACTATTACTATGACCAAACCATTCTATCTTTGTTTGAATGGTCTTTAGCACATTGGTCCAGAAAGTATGAGTTTTGTTTTTATGCTCAATGACAAAACGGTATTCTTTCTCTATTGTACTTTTAGGTCAGAAAAGGCTCTTTCTTTTTTAGCATTAAGTGGTCCGTTCTTGGGTTGAATTTGCTGGGCCAGTCAGTCCTGGACAAATCAGTTGTTTGAAATATATGCCACTTGTAGATTATTTGCCCTACAGTGGAATGACTGATTTCAAATAATTTGGTAATCTTCTTAACCACTTGGTAACTGTGCTAAAGCTGAATGACAGCTAGTGTGGTTATCCAGTTCTGGGAGGGCGTCATATGACGTCCTCCCAGGATGCGCCCTCCCGTGCGCCCACAGCGGCGTGCACCCAGTGATCTCCGTGATCGCTGTGTCCTACACACAGAGGTGATCACGTGATGAGGTAAAAGACCAATCACAGCAGCCTTTTACCACATGATCCTCAGATCACAGAGTAAATACAAATGCTGGTTATCGGCAGCACTTTCCTCACGCTGTGACAGTAATGCCAATAACCGGCAGCTGTCACAGAGCAGATCGGCACTGATCATCAGGTCACTGATGATCAGTGCCCTGCAGTGCTGCCCAGCAGTGCCACCCATCAGTGCCCAGCAGTGCCTCCCACCAGTGAACAGCAGTGCCACCCAGAAGTGCCATCAGTCAGTGCTGCCAGTCAATGCTATCAGTCAGCGCCGCCCGTCAGTGTTGCTCATCTGTGCTGCCAATCAGTGCCGCCTATCAGTGACCATCATTGCTGCATATCAGTGCAGAATCATCAGTGCCTCTTCATCAATGCCCACCAGTACTGCCTCATCAGTGCAGCTCATCAGTGCAGCCTATCAGTGCAGCTTCATCAACGCACATCAGTAAGGGAGAAAAATTACCTGTTTGCAAAATTTTATAATAGAAACAAAGAAAAACTTTTTTTCTTAAAATTTTTTGCTCTTTTTTTTGTTTATATTGTAAAAAATAAAAAACCTCAGTGGTGATTAAATACCACCAAAATAAAGCTCTATTTGTGTGAAAAAAAGTATAAAAATTTCATATGGGTACAGCGTTGCATGACCGCAAAATTGTCATTCAAAGTGCAACAATGCTGAAAGCTGAAAATTGGCCTGGGCACGAAGGGGGTATAATAAATTGAAGCCTTGTGCAAAAGTGATAACAATCAATCAAAATTAATGCTGCTGTAAAAAAAATTACAAAACATCAAACAAAACTCATAATGTAACAGCGCAAATAATGAAAAATAAAATATAAAATTATAACTTTCTAAGTTCAAGAAAAAGTCCCAAATTAAAGTCCAGTGTCCCAAAAAATGTGATAAAAAAGTGAAAGAATAAAGAATCGTTCATACATTTTCCAGTGTGCTCACATCATCAGTGGTGAATCAATTCCTGCACACTCACCAGATAAAGTGGATTCTCAAGCTGATAAGGCTTTGAGAATCAAAACAGGCTTAAAGGTGGGGTGTAGTCTCCTCAGATGTTTTCCCTTTGTCGATTCCTTATTGCATCTCCCTCCAAGAACGATTCCACATAGGGCAATATCAGTGCCCAGTAGGCAAGTGGTTAAATCCCAGTCTCATAGGCATGCACAACTTTCTTTATAGGGGCCTTAGAGAGCTCTTTTGATCTTGGCATGATGAAACCACACATGGCAATAGCAAAGAAAACACTAGACCCTAGACATCTGAGGCTTAAAGTGGAATTCCAGGTTTCAATGCACTTTAAATAGTTTTTTGTTGCCAAGCTTACCCAAACAAGCCATCTCCATAACTAAATGATGTAACCAATAAGTCAGGCTTAGTGCTTTCTCTACTATTCAGGGGAAAGCTTGTAATTTTATTTTAAAAAAAAAGGCTTCCTCTTGTTGAGATGTGCACTCAGAGAAAGCCTGGAATTCATTATTCTTTATTATTCATTCATTCTATACTGCTGCCGAACACAGCATCGTTTCCTATATGTAGCTAATACTACTGAAGTATATTACAGGAAACACATACAGTAGTTTAGTAATGGAAATGGTTTGTTTGGGCCAGCTTGGACTAAACTAAATATTTAACTATTTCCTGCCCACTCACAGTACATATACTGCAGGAGGGCAGCATGAGCAGGCTAGATCACATACTTGTATGTCAATCCAGCCTGTTCTGGGTTAGGGGCAAGCTGCGTGCCACTCCTGTGACCATTTACTGTGGGCAGCACAATGGCTACATGGGTAGCACAACCACCTGATTGGTTTGAATCCCAACCATGGCACCACCTGAATGGAGTTTGCATGTTCTCCCTGTATTTGCATGGGTTTCCTCCAGGTACTCCGGTTTCCTCCCACACTCCAAAGATATGCTGGTAGGGTAATTGGCTCCTGTCTAAAGTGGTCCCAGTATGTGTATGTATGAATGTGAGTTAGGGACCTTAGATAGTACGCTCTTTGAGGGTTAGGGACTGATGTGAATGTACAATATATATATGCGTAAATTGACGGCGCTATATAAGTACCTATAATAAATAAATAAATATACATTTACAATTACCAGTAACCGGTTATCATGTAATCGCTATGATTGGTCATAGTGATCACATGATCATAATGTAAAGAAATTGTCATATTGTCATGAATGGATTTCCATTTGCTAACAGTTGTGATTGGCGGTTGTGATCTGTGATTATTATTGGTGTCCGTTGGTGGAATAGTGCCCCAAGGGCTGGACAAAGGAAAGTAAAAGGTCTCATCCAGCTACCTGGCCACAGTTTAGAGACAACTGACTTATATAATGATCATCATCAATAACGGTGTAAAAAAAAATCCCTGATCACTCCCCAGAGTAGCACAGTGTCACTATGGTGACACTGAACTACTGTGATTAAAGTATGTAAAAAAAATTGTTTAAAAAAAAAAATGTTTAAAAAAATATTTAAAAATAATTTTTATTTTTATATATGCTGTCACCAATCAGTATCCCTGATCAACACCACACCAATCATACGATGACACTCTACTGCACTGGTGACATTATGTGAAAAAAATGTGAAAATAAAAGCAATTTTTTTTTAAATTCTTCAATTTCCAGAAAATTGTGACAGGAAATTACAATAAAAAAAAAATCGCCATGCCTCTTATTATATACCTTGGACTGTCTACTTTTCAAAAAGGGGTCATTTAGGGGTATTTGTACTGTCCTGGCATTTTAGGGCCTTGAGAAATCAGATTGGCCGTCTGTACATCAGAACTGATTAAATATCAAATATATATACCAATGTGTATATATGTATAATGTATAATATGTACTCCTGATGAAGTCACATGATATGATGTAACGCGTAGGGTGTGCCAATGACGTCAGGCTGTAAACCAGAAGTGCACATGCTGCCATTTTGGATAAGGGATTTCTGAATATTTATGGGATTTATACCACACAAGTCCACATGCTGATATTCAAGATTTAAAGGGACAGTTCACTATTAAGGACAATTATTCTTTATCTGTGTATACAATTCATGTATAGCACTGGTTATGTGCAGTCTATGGAGTCATATATGCATGTATTGATTAGACATCTGGTATAGCACACATTGATTCTCACAAGCAAAGTCGTTTGTTTTGTGCACGTATTTATTGTTTAGCATTATATTTTGCATTTATATTGTTGCGCTGCATTTTCGATTTGTTTATTTATATATACCAGGGGTCTGCAACCTTTAAGACATAAAGAGCCACTTAGACCCTTTTCCGAGAGGGAAAAAAAGACTGGGAGCCGCAAAACC